TTTAAGATGAGCCTAGCTTTGATTTTTGAAACACATAAATGTGTTACCTATCCAAAAAGTTACCTTTGTTATAAAAAGCCCTTTCTATCTCCAAAATAAAAGCTTAAGGAACATGGAGATTACTTTTTTAAAGATAAGTAAACAAAAAAGGCAGCAAAATGCTTTTTCATAGATACATTTCTCTCCAGGAATAGTTATAAAAAGACAAAACTAAGGTACTCACTCTGACTTAGGGGATGATACTGAAGATTTAGTTCAAAATCAGTTCATTTTCTAAGGAAACCTGGAGTTGGGGGTCATCTGAGGCTTTGGAGATCCTCCTGAGAGAACAATCCTAAATTGCTATGTCCTTTGTTCTCCTCAGAGGGTCAAGCCCTACGCTGGGTTTCCTCTAACAGTTTGCCTCTATGTGTGCCCTTCAAGTTGTCTTAAAGAAAGTGTAAAACTGTTGCTTTATCTGAAAACCATGACAGGACCCACATAGTGGTCTAACCACTGCTGAGTTGAAGACTACCTTGTTCTTCCTTTGGCTATTTCAGAGTGCACTTATCAGGTAAGAACTGCAGAGGGCATTGCACATCAGGCCTCTGTTGAATAAACTCATGAAATCAGCTGAGCCAGGAATGAAACATTGCCCTCAAGATAAATGAGAGTCCATATCCACTCTTTTCTGAATTACCAAGACAGCAAAATTATTTTAAAAAGTTTGAGGAAGAACTACTTTGTTTCTTTTAAAGATGTTCTGTGCTATTTAAAAATGTTTTAAGCTGGGCGTGGTGGCGTACGCCTTTAAACCCGGCCTTTGGGAGGCAGAGGTAGGCGGATCTTTGTGAGTTCGAGGCCAGCCTGGTCTACATAGTGAGTTCCAGGTCAGCTGGGACTACAGAGAGACCCTGTCTCGAAAAGACCAAAAAAAAAAAAAAAAAACAAAACAAAACAAAAAAAAACTTTTAAGTAAGTCTTAAAAGGGTTATTGTAACTTTAAAAAGAAAAATACAAGGTCAGACATGGTGGCACATGCCTTTAATCCCAGCACTCAGGAGACAGGTGGATCTCTGTGAGTTCAAGGCCAGCCTGGTCTAGTGAGTTCCAGGCCAGCTGGGGCTACAGGGAGACCCTGTCTCAAAAAGACCAAACAACAACAACAACAACAAAAAACCCACAAAAAGAATAAGGAAGAAGGCAGTGCTACCCCACACAAGCCCACTCCTCGTTACTTATTTTTTAGATTATTTCCCTGAAGATGTATCATCTCTAGCAGCTGCTATAGTATGTAAAACTCCTACACTTCTCAGGTTTTTTAAAGGACAGCCAACTTGACAGGCATACCTAGTCTTGTGATCTACGGGAAGGAAGGCATCCCTCATCTGTTAGGTAAACCCACGCTGGGCTACTGCAGCTTCTCTAATAACACTTGAAGATCAGATGGGAGACAAGCTGTTAAGAGAATACCTGCCCACAGGTCCTGCTACTAGGAAGAAAATTATAACTGCTAAGAATGACACATTCTTGAAGAAATAATCTTATTGGCAAGTAAGAGAGACTTCTCAAAAGACCAAAGAATTATAAACATGCTTACATGTAGTAGACAGCCTAATTCTCATTCAACAAAAGAATTTTTTCTGTAGCATCCTGACAAATGAACCCCCTGGAATTACAGTGGTATCCAGACAGAACAGCTAGCAGTCCTAGACAGTAGTTCTAAGAAGTTTGTCAAGGGTCTGCTGAAAGGCCTGTTTGTGTAGAGTGGTGCAATGCAAACATTCCAAGCTGAGCTTGAGGCTAGAACCAGATTCCACAGGACGGCTTATAAGAGAGAAGTAGACAGGTGGTGGGAGTTCAGTTAGGTGGGAATATTCAGTCAACACAGTCATCCAAAGACCTGTGGGCACATGAGGTGACAAGCCAAGCTCACAAACCAAGATATGTGTATAGACAAAAAAGAAGTAGACAGAAATCAGAGAATGGAATCAAAGGCTAAGCAATATGAATAAGAAATCCAAACAAAGGTTATCTCTACCTACCTTTTTTTGACCCTCTGTCATCCTCCACATCATACATCTCAATTTTCTTAAGGTTCCTACTCTCTTCTGTACTGAATTACATCCCTCTAAAAGATATATTAAAGTTCTAAACCTGGAACCTGCAATTGTGACTTCAAAAATAGTGAGACTATCCAGACAGGCAAAACCTAATCACACAAATCCTTTAGAAGCAGTTTCTTCCACTGGTTGCAGAACAAAGTTGAGGAGAATGGGATCATAAAAGAATTTAAGAACAGGATCCTGCTACTGGCCTTGAAAGAATAAGCATTCATGTTGCTTGAGAACTTGTAAGAAGGTACATGGAAGGAACGGTACTCCTAGGAGCTGAGGAACAGTCTTGGGCCGACAGTCAGGCAAGGTGATGGGACATCCGTCTTACAAATTCAAGTAATGAAATTGCCAACAATATGAAGGAGCCTGGAAAAGAATACTCATTCAGAACCCAGCCCAACCAACACTCTGATTTCAGTCTTGTAGGATTCTAAGTACAAAACCAAAGCATATCCATTCAGACTTCTGACCTAAAGAGCTGTGAGCGAATAAACAGGTGCTGCTTTCAAGCTATTATATTGTGATAACCCATTATGCAGCAATAGAAAACAAGTAAGATTTTACTCAACTATTGTGAGGTCAAATAAAATAATACACATGAGAGTCTGGGGAGGTGACTCAGTGGTTAAGTGCACCAACTGCTCCTGCAGAGAACCTGGGTTCAGTTCCCAAGACTCACAAAGTGGCTAATAACCATCTGTAACTCCAGTTCCAGGGGACCTGATCCCTCTTTTAGCCTCCGCAGCCATTACATGACATGGGTGCACTTATATACATGTAGGCAAAACACATACATATAAATAGAATAAAATAATACACATGCTTTCTCTAAATCATGTAAGTTATTACCTAGTTAACATGTTGAAATGAAATAAATTTTCACAACTCATCTACATTGGAGCTTGATGTGTGGTAGGGACTCAGTAGTCTTTATCTGTGAAAGCAATATTTTTTTTTCAAGTAGGTTAATTTTCTTTATTTCTCTATTTCTACAATGCTACCACAATTATAGATTTGTGACATATAATATGCATGAGTGCCTCCCTATAGTAAGACCTAGGAGTGAAAGAATGTATGTGTGAGAATGTGTGTAAATAAATAAAGGAAGAAAGATGCTATCAAAGGCAGAGGTTCACAAATGAAGAGATATGTATCTACCACTAAGATAGTACAATACGTCTAACATTAGCATGCACTGCCAAAAAGAAAATTTCTGGAAGAATAATTTATCTCACACGTAGTTATTTTGTTTGGCTAAGGTATGAGGGGCATTCAAACCTTCACAGGTTTGTTTTATGTGCACTTAAAAGTATACAAATAATTTATATTTCCTGTGATAAAACAATATACTTATATAAATAAACATTAATAACATATACCTAATCCTTCTGATGTAAACTTTTAACAAATTTGTGAGAATCCTTCTATGCTCAAAGTACAAAAGGTTTTATTCTAGGTAAAAATATTGGAGTCACAACCTACCTTTTAATTGTATAACTTGCTTCTTCAATTCTCCAATGTATTGTGGGCATTTCTCCTAATCATTTTATATGCATATCACTATCACATTCTTTTTTCATTTTTTTCTTTTTCTTTTTAAGACAGGGTCTCTCTGTAGCCCCAGCTGTCCTGGAACTTACTATGTAGACCAGGCTGGCCTTGAACTCACAGAGATCCACCTGCCTCTGCCTCCCAAGTGCTGGGACTAAAGGCGTGCACCACCAGGCCTGTCTCCACTCACAGTCTTAATAGCACAGTATTTACAATCCTCTTTGTTTCAAATACTATCATAAACAATGTACATGCTTTCCTTATATCTTTGTACATAAGCCATGTTGCCCAGATGAAACTCTACAAGTAGAGCTACTAGGTTGGTGAGTGCATGTGTATTTGAAAATCTACTGCATATTCTTCCGGTACATTTTTAATTTAAAAAAAAATCTATTTTGGGGGGGAGATCTACCAGTTGGTCTAATTCTGCTTCTTGAGTAATTTAACACCACTGATGACACTATGAGGGAATGGGCTCCCTCTTGATCCTTTCAATAAGTATGCAATGATTTTGTTAAATCTTCCCAAAGAACTGTGGAAAACTTCATTAAATGTACAGAATAAACTGGACAGACTTGACATTTCTACAGTTTTCCCACTGGAACTTTTTGTCAGTTGGTGGCACTGTTTGCAGAGGTTTAGGAGGTGTGGCCTTGCTGGAGAAAGTGCATTACTGGGGGTGGGCTTTGAGAGTTCAAAGTCCAGTCTCACTTTGAAGTCTGTCTCTCTGCTCCCTGTGCCTGCCTGAAGATGTGAGCTCTTAGCTTTCTGCTCTGGCTGCATCCTGCCATGCAGTCCCACCAGGATGGAATCTTGTCCCTCTGAACTGTTAGCCAAATCAAACTCTTCTTTCTGTAAGTTGCCTTGGTCATGGTGCTTTATCACAGCAACAGAAAAGTAACTAATACACATATACTTCTCACAATATGTACTATCCACCACAAGCCCAGAAACATGGATTCAAGCAATCTCAAAGTAAAAATCTCTAAAATCATGAGCCAAAATATAAATCCTTCCTCTTCTAGGTTATCTCTCTCAGGTATTCTGTCACAGTGGTGAAAAGGCTAAACAACTGCATAATAAAAAGATACATAAAATATATTTTATGCACACATAATATTGTATGTATAGTATAACTCTCTCTCTACTCAAACTTTATGAGTTTTGATTTTATTCTTACTCCAGGTACCACTCACCTAAAGTAATAATTTTGGTTCTTCTTATAACTATTTACATAGCTTATTTCTCATGTTGGTAATAAGTGAGCCTATCAGAACAATGCTAAATAATTAAAATCTATCTTTTAAGTAGTTTAATACAATATACTTTCAGTCAACACACAACAGACATTACCATTCTTGATGTTAGGGAAAGCCAGATGTGTAGGTGAACCTCTATTTTCAGCTGCTTCTTTCTTCTGGGTAACAGATGAAACGAAACTGCTGAACGTGGAAATCTGGCTTTTGGCTCCTCTGTCCAAGCCCTTAAAAAAAAAAAACAAAAAACAAAAAAAACACAAAACCTAAAATTGTAATAGAATTCTCACTTACTATAACTGCTATTGCAGAAATCAAAATGTTTATCATAAATATTTAAATCTTACAACAAAAGGATGAAACTGGTATATATTCAACTGACCAAATTAATCTTAAGCATTAAAAAGCTGTATCAGTAACCAGGTATGGTGGTGAACAACTTTAGTCCCAGCACTTGGGAGGCGGAGGCAGGTGATCTTTGTGAGATCAAGGCCAGCCTGGTCTACATAGTGAGTTCCAGGCCAGTTGGAACTAAAGGGAGACCTTGTCTCAAAATATACCTATTTCATAGAGTAATTATGAGGCTTAACAGAGATACAGGAGCAGGTGGATCTCAAGGCCAGGTGAGCTCAAAGCCAGCCTGGTCTATAGCCTGGTCCTCTGGAAGAACAGCAAGTGTTCTTAACCCTTGAGTCACCTCTTCACTTGAATTTTTAATTTGTTTAATTTAATTTTATTTTTTTGGTCTTTTTGAGACAGGGTCTCTCGGTAGCCCCAGCTGGCCTGGAAACTTTAGAGTTTTTAAACATGTAAATTTGGCCTAATATATAACTGCCATATAACATCTTATAACTTCTCTGTGTAGCTTTTTCTAGAATTCACATTTCTATAAACATAATCACTCTTGTTTATTCTTATACTTAAATTACTCCAAAGAATAAAACTGTTCTAATACTGGTCTTTTATGCTGCATTAGGGATTCCTTACTCATTCCAGGACTTGACAGAACTTGTCCAGAGGCCCTCAAACCATTGTGTTTTTCTTTTTTTTTTAGTATAAAAAAGAACCCAAAGAAAATAAATTGCAGATATTATACATACAGTATTTAAAAGTTTCTGTAATTAAGAGATTTTCAGAAATTAGTTAACTTTTTTTTCACAAAGGAACATAGACTTATCTGAGACTCACCAAAACTCAGCAAGCTTACAACAGAAGTGTGACAGATGAGCAGAGAGATGGCTCAGTCAGTAGAGTAGAATCGAGTTTGATCCCCAGAATCGACATTTTAAAAAGCCAGGCATGGTGGTATGTGCTTATAATCCTAGTGCTAGGGAAGTGGAGACAGGAAGATCCCTGGGATTTGCTGGCCAAACACCCTACCCTACTTACCCTGCTTGGCAAGTTCCCCGCCAGTCAGAGACCCTGCCTCAAAAAATGGTGAACAGTGCCTGAGGAACCAAAGTGGTTCTCTGACCTTCATACGCATATATGTGTATATGTGTGTGTGTGTGTGTGTGTGTGTGTGTGTATGCACACACTTGAATTTGCACACACACACACACACACACACACACACACACACCAGCGTTAACATACACGTGCACATACATACATTACACCCACAAAAAAATGTGATAGATACCAAATGAGAATCTGAGCCATACCTCCACAGGTACATAGATGCTATCCTTTATGGGTGACACCTTTGGCTGTTCATAGACTTTGTTACTGCTATTTGTTCTTAATTCTTGGCTAGATTTCAGCTCAGTGAAGCCCAAGTTAATGTACCTGTTTTAGGATCAGTTTATATAATTCTGCTAAAAAGTTTAACACATTGGGGCTGAGAAATGGCTCAGATGATAAAGTGCTCACTGCACAAGCATGGGAACCTGAGTGTGGATCCCAGCACCCACATAATTGGCCAATCTACAACTGGTGAGCTCCTTGAATAAGTGAGAGGTCTTGTCTTAAAAAATAAAGTGGAGAGCGACTGAGAAAGACACCTGATGATGACCTTGGCTTCCACACACGTGCACCCACATGTACATGTGCCAACACATATGAAAACATGCACACATATATACTATAAACATACACACAAAAGTTGAACATATTATGTAACTGAAATGTAATCTTTTAATAGATGTGGGAAATTAAAGTCTCAGATTAATATACAAACATACCAAGGATTTGTGTAGAACTTACAATATAATTGATACTCAAGAAATCATTATTATCATGAGGATAACACCAAAACAAGTGATTTACTGGGTGCTTGTTATATACCTACTACTTGATGCCTTAATACATTATAAAATTCTTTTAAAATATTTTATTTATTACTTTTATTTTATGTGTATGAGTGTATTGCCTGCATAAGTGTACCCATGTCATGCAATGCCCACAGAGGTCAGAAGAGGGCGTTGGATCCCCTGGAACTGGAGTTACAGTTGGCTGTTAGCTGCCATGTAAGTGCTGGGAATCAAACCCAGGACCCCTGCAAGAGCAGCCAGTGTTCTTAACTACTGAGCCATCTCTCCAGCCCCTCATTAAAACATTCTTAGGAGATATGTACTTATACTTCACTTTATAGATGAGGAACTTGAAATGCCATGTTCAAGTTCACAGAGTTGGTAAGATGGAAGCCAGAATTCAAATTCCAGTCTAATGACCATGAAATCGATACTTTCAAATGACCATATTACCAAATAGCTATAATAGCTATCACTAATAGGGACTTGCCATATGAGAATAAGTGTTAAATAATATAATACCAATTTTCATAACTACCCATTGTAGTTGGTACTTTTATAGATGTATACTGAATGCTATTTAATGACTTTAGGAGCAACTCACCTAATCAGAGGAAAGTAACATGCACCTAAAACTAAGTGTATTTTTTTATTGAATTTTTGTGTATTTCATATATAAAATCATCTTTATACTCTCTTCACCCTCCCATAGTTCCCCACCTCCAACTGGAGTTCATTCATTCTGTCATTCGCATTAAGGCCTATTATATAAACTTAGTGTCCCGAGATGTCCCTCAGTGCACTGGGGTTTAGTAAGCCTATCTAGAGTCCCTCCCTTTAGGAAGATCAGCTCTTTCTCACCCACTGTAGGTCTGTAGGAGAAGGGTCCTAGGTGCCCGTAGGACTATTTCTGTATGGTCATGTACCTACTCCTTGACTCTTACAATCTTTCTGCCGCCTCTTCTGCAATGGTCTCTGAGCCCTGGGTGGGTGGACCTCAATATAGGAACTTTGTAATAATCTCTGTCTGTTGAAAAAGAAGGTACTTTGATGGGTGGTGACTGGGATACTTGTCTATAAATTTAAGGATCCATATTTTTCACATAGTAAGAAATTACATTTGTCTGGGGATTTGAGAGCTTTGGGGTTGTCTCTCTCCAGCTATGTGTATTTGGCTAGGTTTACAGTGACACACATGAGTTTCCTCCCATTGAGTGGGCTTTAAGTCCAATTAGGCAGCTGTTGATTACCTCCAAGACGAAAGTGCCACTACTGCACCAATGCTGTTTGCTGTGCTGGTCACTGATGTGGTTTTTAGGCCTTGAAACTAGGGTTGGACCATTGACTGATGTTCTCCCTTACCAGCTTGCATGGTGCTCTGCAAAGCTATGAAAGCTAGCCTTCAGGGGAAGAGCCTTCCAGGTCAGTTCCAGCTCTGTTGCTCCAAATCCTGTGTCCAAAGTATGTCCTGTCTTCAGCAACAGGGTCTTACTATAAAGTTCTGGGAGGCAATCAAGGGCTGTGCCAATAGCCTGTATAATTTTAGGAATTTCTTGGACTACTCTAGCCAATGGCTCAAAGGAAGGTTTCTCCCGTCTGGCACGGTTTCTTGTTATACAGTCTTCAACTATTCTCATGGACTCATGTAGGGATACTGTATGTGTAATTTTCAGTACGTTTTTGGATTAATACAATTCCCTCTGTTTTTTTATGCTAGCAAGGCACTATTTATCTCTCCTCTTTCTCTCCCCATCTTTTCTTCCCTCTCCGCCATCCCCATTTAGAATGTCCCCATTTTCTCCATTTCTCCCTTGATAATTTCTGTCTGCTATGGTCCCAGCTCTCCCGAGCTCTTTCTTCCTCTTTATTCCCATAGTTCTTTGTAGAGTTGTCCTCCTACCCCTCCCATTTAACTACCCCCTTTTTACACATTTCTTCCTTAGTAATGCCTGTTTCCTACTATTCTTCTCTCTTGGGTTCTCTCTTTCCTTTACCTCCCTGGTTTCCTTCCATTTTCTTGATTCCTACAGTTATATAAGGACATGTACTCACTTGTAACAATGTGGTGCTAGGACCCACAAATGAGGGAGAACATACATCTTTTGTTTTTCTGAGCCTGTGTTACTTCACTTAGTATAACAGTTCCTAGATCCACCCAGTTACCTTCAAATTTCATTATTTCAACTTTCTTTTCTGCTGAGTAGAACTCCATTGTGTAAATTTTCATTAACCACCCATCAATTGAGGGGCACTTAGGTTGCTTCCATCTCTTAGCTATTGTGAAAAGAGCAGCAACAAACATGTAGAAGTATCTCTGCAATAGGATGAGTCCTTTAGGTATGTGCCAAGGAGTTGGTATAACCAGGTCATATGGTAGGTTCATTTTTAGTCCAAAACTAAGTATATTTTAGGGAAACCTTTAGTGTTCTAGCAATCTAGGAAATACTTGATTTTTTTTCCTTCTCTCTTTATAAAATGAAGCCCTAAAGATACTGTTTTACTTTACTTGTAAGATTTCCAAATAATCAAATATGAATGGATTCAATGAACAATTATGTGACAGCTATCAGTTCTACTGGATTTGTAATGTAGAATCCCAAAGGTAAGAGAGAAATTGGCAAAGGGGACACATAGTTTCAGAAGCAAAATCAACCCTACTTGAAGAAATGAAACCTGAACTGAGATAGTAGTAACAGTGAATGAAAAATGGCAGCTGAGGCCAAGCAAGAGAAAAGTGGCAAAAGCAATTTCCAGCCTAAGTCTAAAGCACAGTGAGGATGAGACTGTCCTCTAAGTTATATAAGAAATGAACAATGTAAAATGCTTTATTTCAACTTTCAAGACAACAGATATTTTGACACCTCACTACAAATAAGAAGGCATATTTAGGGAACATTTTAGCATGATACATACGTACATACATACATATATAGTTTTTGAGTCACTAGAAAAGGAGCCAATGCTCATTAACAAAC